AAAGAGGAGAAAGACAGCGAGAGAGTGAGCCGTGCTGTTTTTTTTTTTTTTTTTTTTTTTTTTTAGTTCAAATGCAAAAACCCTGACAGAGTCGTGATTAAAAGTGATATTTCTGACACGTTAGGATGCGCACAGGAAGTAACCTTCTCCAAAGCCTTCATTATTAGATGCATGACAGACCTGAATATTTATAAAATATGCTTTAATAATTGATAACAGCAATCTGCTACAGTAATTCATCAGATTTGCACTTCAACAGAGTATCCGTTTTCATTTTAAAATAATAATAAGTTGAATGCTAATGCAGGTGAAATGCAAAATTGCAAACCATGTGTGGCTGAAGCTCTAAATGCATTTGTGCCCTTTTTAGTACATTGGAAAAACAATGGCGTGTTAATGATATTGCCCTCGCTGCTCGTTTAGAAACTGTTATCAATGTCTGTGATCATTTGTGCACCGCTCGTTTTGTTGTGCACTGAGCTGTTGTGCTGTTTACTTGTGTAGCTTCCGTTTGAGGGCACATCACAGCTAAAAAATCAGGAAACCAGCCTGTTTTAGTGTAGAATATACAAGAAGCTGATGTGGTTTTATCAAAAGCATATTCTTTGTTTGAGTCAGTATGCAATACTTCCTCTTGTGTTCTTTGACCAAAATAGCACACACACACACTTACTCACCTTTTGTAAAGCTTCTTTCTACTCATGATGATTTCAAAAAGAGCAGCCACAGCCTTTTTTTTTTTTCAAAAGTGTATCACAAGTGTATCATTTTGATTTTGTACACAGGTATGAAATGTTCTCACTTTCAAACTTGAGTTTGTGAGTTCTTGCAAAAAAATGCTAAAAGCATTTGGCATCTTTGAGAATGACTCCTGTATTTGTAGGTGTGTAAAATCATGCACATCACCTTGAAATAAATATATAAAGCTGAAACCATTGACAATAACAGTCAGAAGTTTGCATGTTAAACATATAAAGTATATAAAGTCCAGTACACAGGGAGTAGCCATAAATGATGTTGGCAGTCTAATGCTTCAAATAAATACATTAAATAAAAAAAATATATATATATAAATAAGTGAAATATTAACTAAAAGTACCATTTTGCAAATTATTTCATATGTAGCAACAATTTGTTTTTGTCTACTGATTTTTCTATTACTTTTATGTAATTGTAATTGTGTGAAACATTTTACTGGTAGTGTACATATATGACGCTGTGCATATTCATTACATGTTGTAGATCTGAGTGTCTTATTGCAGTTACAGTAAGTGCTTTGTTCACATTGTTTGTGTTTTTAACCAACACATATTGCACGCTTCACAGGATGATTCAGATACTTCAGTCTTGTCAACAGACCGCATTTCACTGTAGCAAAGCCTAGATTAAAAGAGTTCAGGTTTGTTTTAAAGAGGTATTGTTGCAGAAGGGAACTTAGAGAACTAAAAGAGTCTGAACCTGAGAAGTTCAGGGGACACCTGCAAATTGTTCCTCTGTGCATAAAAAGTCAGAGTCTGTGAAGCAGAGCAAATGTTTTAATGGTGGGCAGGGATCGAAGCTGTCAGCAAGGCTTCCTGTCTGGAAATGTAGCTGTTTTTTTACTTAACGTTACCTCCTTTTCTCATTTCTGAAGGAGATGTGCAACAGGAACTATAGTGTGCAATAAAATGCAAGCAGAATTTGAGAATATCACTTCAAAAACATTCAATGAGCTACGGTATCTGAAAAACAAATGTTAAAGTGTAGCATGGAAATCAGTTAACCTACAAGCAGATTTTTTTCTAAGAAAACCTAGGGTAAGTTAATGAACTCGTAAAAAGCGATAAGATTTCTCAAAAGAGAAAGACTACATTTTCAATAAATAATATGCAATGTTGAAATTGTTTAATTTGTGTACTTATACTATATATATATATATATATATATATATATATAAAACTTTGTTTCAACACAGAAACAAAAATGACATTCGATGATGTCTTTAAATTACCCAGAGGCTTTGCTGCATGGCTTATTAATTCATTCATTTTTTTAACAGCAAGTGTCTTAAAGCCTGTCAAAATGTCTTAAGAGTCTTGTTAAAGAAGTGCCACAACTCATATCTCTTTAATGAAATTCATATGCTGGTGAGAGGGGGCATGTCTAAACATCTAAACAGGTTGCTTTTTAGGTTTCACACTGAGGTTATCTGAAAGGGCCCTCCTTGATTGACGTTATCTGGCTTGACAGCGCTTCATATCAAGGTTAACCTGGCGTTCGAAGGCCGAGAGGGAAAGAGGCAGAGGAAAGCAGAAGAAAAAGTCAGACATCGTCCGGGTCCTGCTCCTCTCTGCCACTCTTTCCCTCTCTCTCACACGGCAGGTGGAGGTTTCTGCACTCTTAATTGATAACTAATCGAGCGGCGTGTGTTGTGTTTCCCCTAGAGGACGACTCTAATGGTGGCTTGGCTTACTCAGCAGCGCAGCTCCGGAACCACTAAATTAAATATATCCCCACAGATAATGATTCTGAGTGACAGACTCCGGTCTGGGTGGCTCCAGCGGCCACCAACCTCTCGTTGTGCCCTTGCACTGGAGGAACTAGAGTAGCCCACGCTCTTCTGTGTCCGCTCGCCTCCCTAAAGCCTCACGCTAACCACTCCTCGTGACAAAAATACATCTCAAGCAGTTAATCTGAGCAGATATCAGCTCAAGTGTCCTTCAGTGGCCACAGGGAGCCTCTCCTCATAACCTTGATTCCTGTCAACTTCTTGCTTTGCACACAGGCTGCCCTGTGCCACGGTTCACTTCAATCAAACTTCCACCCAATGGGTGATGAGACCCTCATGCATTATTTTTAGTTGTAAAAATCTGATTATTTTACAGTAGGCCCTCTACAACCATTGATGTTTTAAGGAGTTTGTTCACCCAAAAATGAAAATGCTGTCATTATGTAGTACTCACCCTCATGTCAGTCCAAAACTGTGTGACTTTCTTTTTGAAAAATACTCTATATATATACTAGCAATCAAAAGTTTGGATCCAGTATTTATTTATTTATACATTTTTTAAGAAATGCTTTTATTCAGCAAGGATGCATTAAATTGTTTACTTTTACATTATATACATTATTTACATTATTAAATTTCAAATAAATGCTGTTCTTTTAAACTTTCTATTCATCAAAGAAGCCTGAAAAAATGTATCATGGTTTCCACAAAAATATTAAGCAGCACAACTATAATAATAAGAAGAAATGTTTCAAATCAGCACCAAATCAGCATATTAGAGTGACTTCTGAAGGATCATGTGACAATGCTAAAAAAATGTAGCTTTGAAATCACAGGAATAAATTAAAATAGGAAATAGTTATTTTAAATTGTAAATACAGTATGTTTTACAGTATTATACAATACACCACAAAAACACATTATTGCTGATTTTACTGTATGTTGATCACATAAATACAGTTTTGGTGAGCATAAGTGACTTTTTTCAAAAACATTTAAAAAATCTTACTGTCCACAAACTTTTGTATGGTGTATTTTGTAGTTGTTTTTTTTGGTCCATACAATATGGGTCCAATGATTTTTAAATTAAAGAAAGAAGAAAATCAGTCATACAGGTTTGAAACATCATGTAGAGTAAATTATGACAGGATTTTCATTTGTAAATGAATGAGGCCCATTCTTTAGAAAACACTGTGCCAGCTGTGAGACAGACTTCCTTTGCAAGTGCAATCAGGGCACGTGCAGAGCCGTTCGGATCACCTCAGACTTTACTTTTCCCTATTCCAGCCCTTCTGTCCTCAGGGGACGTCTTAAATGCTTTGTCTTATAATTAGGCTTCAGGGATGTATTTGTTCTCAGAATTGAAGGGTTACTGCCTAACTGTGCTGCTTAAACAAAATATTTCCTTTTCCGTTTGTGTGTCAAAATATGCATCTGCCATTTTCTGTCCATTGTCCTCAGTAAGTATGTGTGTGCCTTTTTTTCTCCACGGCTTGTTTGTTTTTGTTACCTGCAACGGGATGTAACTGAATTATTGTATGTGGCAGAAGGTTTCAGTCTGGCAGAGAGAGAAAAATGAGAGGGTGAAGTCAAATTAGGTCCTTCAAGGTCAGTCCAAAGACAGCATGCAACATGCAAGGTCACATTCCAGACTAAAAGCAATAAGTGCTTTATTGATGGGGAAAAAAACACACTGCAAGCAAGCAGATGTGCAACGGACTGATTAATATTACAACAGATTTGAGTGTGTGTGTGTGTGTGTGTGTACTTGTGTGCATGCCCTATGCATTCATATTTTGCTTCTCCAAAAAAACAACAACTTTAAAGTCAGGGGGAAAAAAAGAGAAAAACTCATGAGCATAATTGTTTTGTCCGGATGTGTATCTCCCACTAAAAAATTGATCCCTGCATGGGAATCTGAAAAATCCATTAGAGTCCATCAGACAAAAAAAAAGGACAGAATGATAGAGTGTGTATGAGTATGAGCAGTTTATCAAACCCATCATAGTTTTGCCATTAATGCACACGTCAGCTGACTTTTAATTTTTGGCACAACTTCTTAATGCAACAACTTGCTTTTAGATATCAGAAACCGCTGAAGTGTCATATAACAAGACTAAGACCAAAAGCAAAACTATTCAAATAAGTATCATAGAGATGTGGGATTCAGGGTTTCTTTTAACCTTGTGCAGTTCTGAGAAGTTTTTATTTGTTTTGTCATATTTGCCCTCATTTACAGTACACTGCAAACCAGGTAAACCTGCCCTGTGAGCACCGATCCTCCCCGCTCATACTGTGATACCAAACAAACCTGTTTCAAAGCTCAAATAACCATCTTTTACCTTCTAATTCTCTTTCTTTCACCTCCTTTTTCTTTATGCTTCACCTCAGCCTCTCCTTCCATCTTTTCCCGCTTTAAGCAGCAGTTGGGAATGGCATTGTTTTTAATCATCAGAACCCAGAAATTATTATTATCGCCTCTGATGCGGCAATTAAAACTTCAGGTCAGAGGCACAACGAGCGGTGATCAGCAGCGAAGCTGAGAAGTTTTAATTAGACGATCAGAACCATTAATGCACAAAAAAAGGTGTGCGCTGGGAAATTAACGTGAACGTCTTAATCAGGGTTACCGACTCCGAAGAGGAGTCAAGTGAACAGAGAGCAAAAAACAAATCATTTCCGCACCACTGGGACAAAACTCAATTAAATATGCATGCAGAAAATGGAAATTCGGAGCATCAGCACAGACCGTTGGAAAAAATACGGCAAATTCCATAGACGGGGTCGCAGACCTGCTTTATTGTTATTCTTGTGTAATAAAATCGAAAGAGAGGCCAGATGCTGTGGAATGAGGGTGTGTGGAGAACAGGTCCGATGCTGACTTTTCCGCTCCCCTTCCCCCAGAGCGATGGGAGAAACAAACTACTTCCTGCAAGCTGTAAATTAGCAAAATAGAGAGAATTATTTCAGCATGTGTATGTGTGTCCGAGTTTTAGTAGGTGAGGAAATACCTGGGAATCTGCCTCTCGGAGGGCCCCATCTTGTTGCAGTTGCTGCAAATAATGAGAAACTCCATTGTAAATATGCAAAATAAAGCACTAAGGAAGGGCCAGGAATAGGTAACCGTTCTCATTTCTTGGTTTATTTGACATTTACTTTAAGTTTGCATTTGCAGAATCCCCTGACAATCAGAGGTCCTAGATCCTCCACCTGGAAAAAACAAAAAAGACAAGTTAATTTATACACATTCCAGGTCAGTTAATCTGTCAAAAAGATTATAATATCAGAATAAAGCTTTTAAAAGTCAGGACAGAAAGAAACTGCTCTGACAGGAGAATATTTAAATAATGAGGAATAATCCAACGCTGTCCAGGCCTGTTCCATTAATGAGTGCTCTGTATTATTAGGGTTTTGTCCTTGCATTAGTCAGCGTATTTTGAAAGTCTGCATGAAATCAGACAGGGCCGATCAGAGTGTTAGATCACCACTAAGTCGAGGGATTCGGGTTTAGCCAAGTAAACAGAGTTTGTTTCTAGAACAATCGCAGCAGTGGATGCCTGGTGAGAAGGAGAATGTTATGTCCCTGCTTTAGCGTGCATACTCTTCCTGTCAGAACAAGAGAGAGAGAGACGGAGAGGGAAGAACAGGACACGCCAATCTAAGCAGTCATTAACAGCCACTTCCTCACTCTGGTGGGCTGATTGCAGTCAGCACACGTTCGTACAAATAATGCACTTCCAACGGCATTATTAGGATTTGAAACACCACTTGATTGGGCATGATATCATTCCGGCACATAAACAGAAGCTCCGCATTAAACGAGACAAGCAGGGCCCTGAGAGCTACGTTCAAGGCAGCTTCTCTGTCATTCCCGGCGTCCTCCGCCTCACGGTTCTGAAAAGAAACAGGGCTTGTGGGGCCTTTGATGTGCGAGTAGATAAAGAGAAGTAGCTCTCTCTTATTGTCGAATCTGTTTAGAATAGTTTCTTGACTTTTTCGCAAAGGTTTTCTCCTTATACAGTAAAAGCATTACGGCAATTCCAGCTCTGCACTATTTCCAGTAAAAAAATATTGTCAGCATTAGAATAAACAGGACCTCTTAAAGAAAACAAGCTTTTGCTGTGATCATCCCCACCGTTTGTTTATTATTCAGCGCTGACAGGCGTCTTCGAGGGCCTGAAATAAAGAGTGTTTCGCTGAAACACGTTTGGACGCATCAAATCACTGAGGTTTGCTGTTTGTTACATCTATTTTTCTTAACATGAGTGCCTGTCTCTAGAGTAGTGAGAGGAATCCCAGAGGAGAGGCTGTTCTTTTATCTGCATCCCTACTGATTCTATCGCACTGCATGCTATCATGAACACAAACGACTTGGAGTAAATAGCGGTGTTACCATAGCAATCTCCATTGTTGGTCAGAACCGAGGCATATCTATTGCCAGGCATGTATTTAATGCAGCAGCTACTAACTGGTTTACCGTGATCTTTTTTGAGCTCCAGAGCATCTCATTAGTGCCCTGATCCTCTCTCATTTAAAACCTCAGATCTCATCTCTAGACAAAGATGTCTTTCAAGTGCACAGCCTTATTTTTTTGTAAAAGTTTAGGAAAAGGCTGTGCACTTGAAGTGTTTTTTCATGTGACATTTATTATATATATATATATATATATTCATACTTAATATACATACATGAATATGATTCAGGTTATAAATAATCGTTTTCTTTTAGAATTTTTCCTGTAAAAATTTTCTTTTCATAACTTTTATTTTTACTTTATGAATAGTAAATAAATACAATAGTAAGTAATGTGTGTGTGTGTGTGTATGTATATATATATATATATAATTTATGTTATAGCTGTTTGTATATCTTTTAATTAAATTGTTTGCATTATTTACAGTTCCTTATAAAATTACCAGCCACTGACAAGCAGTTGCATTTACTCACGAAAGCAGTTTTAGACAGTGTGGGTGTTGACCATGGGTGTTTTGATTGTTAAAAAAAAACGCACATAAATTGTGGGTAATGGAAGGAGATCGCTTCTCAGGGGTCATTTCCTACAAGGAAAAGCGAGATTGCAATGCAAAGGAAATCACTAGTTAAAGAGTGAAATACTGAGCAGGGTAAACAGTAAATGAACTTTACTGTTACGCCCAAATGACCTCAATCTTCCTTTGGAGGTGTTCTGAAAAAATACTTCAGAATTTATGTTTCCACTTCCTAACAGTTTTTGCAGCTGATTTTTTTCTTCCTTTTTTGGGTTCAAAATTGCTGTCCTCAACTGGATGACCTCTTCAACCCAGGCCTTGCAATTTTCTAAGGTAAAAATGAGCACATCTGAAGCATTTAGATGCATATGGTGCAGTGCGGAGCGTACATAATTCCTCAGCTCATTGTTTCAGAGAGGAAGTTTTGAGTGTAAATACAGTAACTGAGAAAGCATGTGCCGGGGGCCACAGGGTGCATGGCACATCTAGTATGTAACAGGCTAACCTTGAGTACCTTCAAAATTTATAATAATAAAATATATAATAATTAGATTTTACACACACACATCAAAAACAATATATATTGTCTTGTTAAAGCATCCATTCGAACCCCAACAGCTTTTGTATTGACAGCTTCATGAGATGGTTAGAAATAGCTAATTTCAACACAGCGTCTAACTACCAGCTAAAGCGTTCCACAGACCATTATACGTCCCGAAGGTTTCCCATTCTTTATTTACTGCATGATAAACATCTAACGTTACGAGCGGGCTCGATTTTAAGCCTGGAAAACCTATTAAAAGTGAACTTTGCTAAATCTTTGCATCAGATTTGTGGTGAAAGGGTGACTTAGCAGTGAGAGAATTCTGCCCTTAAAAAGGCATCTCTGGATATGGACGGTCCCAGAACAGCTGCAGGGGGGAGTTGACACAGGGATAGATATTATAGATAGCACATTGGGGTGAAATAGCAAATGACCAGGCCCATGTGGAATCTTCACATGCAGATTTCTGCAGAATTATTGGAATGTTGAACCGTGGAAATCCATGCTGCTCTAAACTGGAAATGCTCTCTGTGTGAGGCAGGTACTATGGAGTGAATCTATTGCGAACCCGAACCATGTGTGAATGATCAGTTCCAGTACACTCTCAACTGTCTATTCAAGGGGGATCCACAGGAAGTGTGTATGTCTGACTGGTGTTTGACTCTTAAACCACTGTTTTGATCTAAATGTCTACTGAAATGAGAATAGCTGTCAATGTGGTAAAAAAAAAAAAACTGTTGGTTTGGTGATCTTCTGCACTGTATGAGCAGCTTTAGGGGGCTGACAGCGAATTTGAGTGACAGTTGTTGAAATGAAAGCAGGCTGAGCGAAGGGAGGTGATGTGAGGTGAGGGGATGGCAGCTACTTTTTCTCTCTGTGTTTGTCTCTTTTATGCTTTTTGTCTCTTTCTTTCTGCTTCCAAATGTACTTTATGTGCTTTCTTATACTCTTCTGTGCTCTCGTCCCTGCGCTGTCAGAGTTAAGGCTCATATTGGCAGGACACTGGGCCTCTTTAGGTGAAGAGTGTCTTAAGTGTCAGGCTGTTTCTATTCTGCTGTCATGTTCAGAATTAAATCACACTGTAGTGGTGGCTTGACTCACTGTTTGGGGTCTGATTGCGATCTAGTTTTTCTTCTCGGTGTGTAGGAAGAGATATTTCTCTCGTTCCCTATCTCACCTTCTCTCATAAAGTAGGTGTAAATGACACCAGCAATTTACAGACACGCATGTGACTTTTTCTTTATAATTCTCTATTGTTGTGGAAAAGGAGTGCCAGTGTGTATCTAGGAGTAACAGCAAACAAAAACTTAGTTAAAATGCACTAAGTTAAACAGGTTTGTGGTTTTTAGCGAGAGGTATTGTGGTTAGCTTGAAGCTTGGAAGGGTGGTGCAACCATTATCAAGTCTGTTAACATCTTCCATAAATCTTATTTTTAACCACTAAAATGTTCTTTCTTCTTCTTTTTTTTTGGTCAACAGCTGAGAGGAGTTTATGCACTGAAAAGACCTCAGGAAAATCCACAATGGCCGCCAAAAGGAAAGGTGGCCTAAAACTGAATGCGATCTGTGCCAAGCTTAGCAAGCAGGTGGTGTACGACGGCAGTTCCCAGAATAATGAGGGAGACTCAGATCTAGTGGACAACAGTGAGCGGGGCAGCTTGCAATACGATGAGGGCGACAGACCTGAAAGTGACTTCCCGGAGGGCCTGACCCTGGGCCAGAGCCTTGAAGAGGACCAGAAACGGCGTGAAGCCATTGAGAAGTGGGTGAACGGCGAGTACGCTGATGATCCGCAGTCCTTAGGTGGGGGCGAGCACAGGGGACTCAAACCCAACAATGGAGATGATAGTCCCCCTGAAGGCGTGTACATGGTACAGCCTAAAGGCTGCAGCGATGACGAAGACAACACAGAAGAAGCCGAGACCATGCCCGGCTCTCACGAGGGCAGTTATCATGAGGACAGAGACTCGGAGGGCAGCCCGCAAAAGGACGACAGCTACCAGCCCACCACTGAAGCCACACCCCCTCGCCAAGCCCCCTTCACCTCAACAGGTATCACCTCTTTCTTTTAGGATGATGTCATTAGTATTCATAGGTATTTGTACGTTACATTTGCACACACATTTTTGGACATTTATGTATGTTTGTGTACAATATCAGCATTTTGACAGCATCTCAGATAGATAGATAGATAGATAGATAGATAGATTAACAATAAAATGATGTTAAATTGTTAAAGAAATGTAATGACATTAAAAATATTACATTTTAAACATTTAATGATTTAATAACATTTACATTTAATAAAACCAAATAAACAATAAAACCAACCTTTTAATTTCATTAATTTATTATTCTATGAATCTCAAAACATTTGTGCAATTTCAAAGTTGTTGATATGAAAAAGCATTTACATTTTAGATGCTGTCAGTATGTTGATTTTGTGCATTTCAGCATCTAAAAAACATGCAGATCTACACTTGACATGCAGTACAAATGCCTGCGAATACTATTAAGATCACATTGTTCAGTATTTTTCTCTGTGTAGCCAAAACAACGTGTGCATAAGCAAGATAAAATCTCTCTTCAAAGGCTTTGCCAGCTCAGTTTTCACAAGTCTTACTTTACCTGTGTGCTTTACAAGCATAATTACAGTGACACTTTGACAGGGTCACAGCGACACAAGTGCAGTTCTTGGTAAGAGAAATCTATAGTTATAACATGAGAGTAACTGTTGCCATCCGCAAACACATAGAAACAATCTGCATTGGGAAAAACAGGAAGTAAAAGAAGAAATTAATTGTAGAAGAGGCTTATAGAGACTGGAGCATATGTATGTAGCAGCCGAGGGGCCAAGAGTGTTGGCAGGCCGGCTAAGCTTCATATTACACCCAGGATTACACTCTGACTCTTTGATTTTCTATAAGCTCACAAAACGTAGCTACCACAGACCCATTTACATAGTAGACCCGCTCTGCAAAGAATCCAGGTCTCTATCAGTTCAGGAGTTTAAATCCTAGAGATTGAGAAAAAGTTGTGTAAAGCAAAATCCTTATGAGTGGCCCTTAAATCAGCATGGAAAGAAACAAAGACTGCATTTACTTCTGTATTTGTAATACAAACATCTAGACAACATGAAGCACGCATTGCCATCCTTCAGAAAATGAGAACAAGCAAGCAAAATCTGCAGAAACTGACACAATCTCCACTTTAAAACCTCTGTGAATTTTCACCTCTGACTATTTCAGGAAGACTGCAGTACTCAACAAAGGTACAGCAAGACAGAAACTATGCTAGATAACAACAGGAGATGAGAGATATCACTTCGTTTAAAAGATGTTTCTTTTCTCAGATAGCTACCGAAATCAGGTGAAGCTGGTGCTTTTTTGTTAAATGCTTTCTTCTTTCAGTTTTTCTTCTGCTTTGTTTTTTTTCTCTTTTCATTCTTACGGTAGAAGCACCTATATGTTTGTGGCCTCTATCACAGAAGTGGGACCAAGAGTTTCTGAGAAAATCAAGTATTTTCCGGCAAACATGAGTGCTTTGTGGTTTTAATCAGTCATTTTGTGTTTATTTCATGGTCATAAAGAAAGCTGTCTGTAAATATGTGTTTGTGTTGTACACCTTTGCTTTCATTGGGCCCCGGCTGCTTCTGCATCTCAAAATGAAGAAAAAGCATTTGAAGACTGCAGTGAGCAGACATTAGTCACCACTTTTGTCTTGAGTTGTTTTTCCCTCCTCTATCTCTTTGTTGATTGTAACTAGGGCATCTATACTGCCATGTTACTGAGCGGCTCACAATTAAAATATTTTTTCTTCCCTCGTGCTGCTGTCTTTCAAAGGCTGATGCAGAGCGCACATAATTATGCATATAAACATAGTGGCTTAATTATCTCTCACAACATCAGTGACAATGTAATTAACAAACATCGCAAGATCAATGAGAGAAACTGCGACCTTCAAAACATTTAACTCCTCACATCAGGGGACTGAGCAGAATCCCTATCAGCATAAAATCGCAGAATGCCTTTCCCATAGCAGTCAACTGCAACCAGGCTAGGCAATAGATCATGTAAAAATATCAGTGAATCAAATATTATACATATATTACATAATGTTTTTTCATTATATATATATATATATACACTGTATATATATATATATATATATTACTCATATCTTTTTGAAGTATATAAATTATATAATATTTTCACTTACTTTTATTTATTATAAATATATATATAATAAAAATATGTATTATTTAGAAATATAGTTTAGGAGAAATTCTAGTTGAATAGAATTAAATTGTACTTCTAGTCCTAGACCTACTAGACCTGCTAACACACCTCGACATTCTCTTCATATTCAGCCTTTATGAACAACCCAGATGACACTTAATTTTTTCAATTAGCTGAAGTGAAACAGACCAGCCAAAGATGTTTGTTAAAACTCACAATCTAAATAGAGTTGTGAATTTAGCCCTATTAGCTAACCAGCTAGCTGGATTTAGCTACCTTTAGTTTTGCTAATTTTGAGTGGTTTTAAAGGGATAGTTCACCCAAAAATGAAAATTTTATGTTTATTTGCTTACTCCCAGGGCATCCAAGATGTAGATCACGTTGTTTCTTCAGTAGAACACAAACAAAGATTTTTAATTTGCAGTTGCATTCTGTCAGTCTTATAATGGAGGTGAATGGGAATCACGGCTTTGAGAGTAAAAAAAAACATACACATACAAAACTAAATTAAACCCAGAGGCGGACAAAGTACTCAACTCCATTACTTGAGTGGAAGTACAGATACTGCTGGTCAAATATTACTCCATTACAAGTAAAAGTTGTAAAGACAGATTTTTACTTAAGTAAAAGTACAGAAGTACTTGCTTTTAAAAGTACTTAAGTACCAAAAGTACATTTCCTTTTTTATGTCAATGCACTGTTTTATTGTTGTACGTAATACTTGCAATACTTCTGAAGCAACTTAGAATACATTACACCTGCTGAATACACTGACTAGCTTGTAGTATCTTTGGAATAAAGAGCTTTTAGAATGTTAAAAACATATGGGGGTAAAGAATTAACACCCCTACCCACCCCCACAAAAGCAGTATGGTAGTGATCTCACACAGCTCTGACAGTGTGTGTGTGCACACATATGTGTAGCCATTCATCCACAATTGAACAGAGTGGACAGTGAAATGCTGTAAATACAGAGTGATAAAGAAGAAAAAAAAATCAAAC